ACCCTCGACAGGTTACTTGACCTTTCTGAGCCTCCATGTTCTGATCTTCAAAATGGGCATAAAGTGGGGAGGGTGTAGCTCAGTGGTAGAGCACATGTTTAGCATGCACAAGGTCCTGGGTTCAATCCTGGGTGCCTCCATTAAATAAAAAATTTCATAATTAAACCTAATTACTCCCCAAAAGAAATCTCAAACAAACAAATGAAATGGGCATGACATTTCCTCTTTGGCAGGGTTACGGTGAGAATTAAGTAAATAATTACGTAAAGTCCTTCTAACAGTGCCTAGCTATGTCAACACTTCAAAAAAGTCTTAGCTGCTGTTTATCTATTATAATGAATGATACCACAGTTGTTAGGATAATTGTTACTCACTGCGGGACCTCGAGAGGGATTTCTTCCTGAGGCTCACACAGCTGGGTGCTGAGGGGTGGGGTGGGATGGGGAAAGGGATGGACTGGACAGGCAGGAGGGATGTGAGGAACAGTGTGGTCCAAGGGGGAACCTGAGAGGCAAAGACATGGCTGCTGGGTGGTGGGGAGGGGGAGGCACTCCTACCACAGCCAGCCTCAGCCAAAGGCCTCCAACTCTATCTACTGGTAAGACCTGAACCCACCCTCACGGGCCCCTTAGGGCTCCCAAGGAGCTCAGGCCTGGGAGACCCATCCTTTCTAGCCTGGGAGTAGCTTCTGAGCCTCCTGGTAGAGACGGACTATGCAGATGCTGTGGCCAATGAGGGCATCTCTGAGGCCCCAGAATGGATGGCTGAGTGCATTTCTAAAGCCCCAGAACAGGAAAGAAGTCGCTGGAGATGTTAGCAGCACCTTGGTCTGGGAGGCTGAGCTCTCTGGTCTAGTCCTGGCCTGGCCACCATCCTGCAGGGAAGCCTGGGGCTGCAATCTTCCCCTGTCTGGGCCTGCGTGTCCCCACTGGCAAAACAAAAATTTTTTCCAAAATATTAAGTGAATGCCCAGCACATTAAACAGATTTAAGGGAGAACTTTTTAGGTTGGGAGGGGTTTCTGGAGCACACCAGCTCAGAGCCCAGACTCCCTTGCCAAGATGGTCCCTGAAGCATGTCTACAGGGCCCTAGGGCATCAAGGATGCCATTTGGAAACCACCAGTCTTGATGGTCCAGAAGATCCCTTCCAGTTTCACATTATCCTGCCAAGGGATGGGGTGCGTGCCCTGCAGTGGGGGTGCTGGGGGGTCCAGAACACCATTAACAGTGATGACAAGTCACGTGAATTGGGAGTGATTAGGTACCAGGTGTTCTAAGTACTTTCCTTGGATCATCTCATTGACTCTCACGACAATCCTAGCCTGGATATAAGTAGAGAGGTTTTGCGAGGTTTGAACCAGATGGCCGTGGCAGAACTGGGATTTGAAAGTGAAATTCCTAGTCAGGCTGAGAGCTCTAAGGGCATCAGAAGGGCACGTGGCTCGGCCCTGACAAAGTGTCCCTGGCCTGTGGGCACATGGGTCATTGTCCTCCTACAGCTGCCTTGCCTTGGTTCCAAGCCAGCAGAGCCACAGGAAGGCAGAGGGAATAATCGGGTGATGACGATGGGCCGACAAGAGGCATCAAGCAGACGTGAAAAGGGCAGGATGTGTTGGGGCTGCGTGGGGATGGAGGAGCTGAGTGTGAAATCTGCCTCCTTCCTAGCTCTCTGACCCTCAGCAGGGGACTGAACATCCCTTAGGGTTTGGTGTGACGATTCAGAGTGCAAAGGAAGGGGGGGGGCCCTGCTGCAGCCATCACACTTCACTGGCTCCCTTCTAGGGCTCTCCTCTGGTTCCCATGGAACAGCCAGCACTGGGGGCCCAGGGGGGTCCACCAGCTTTGCTGCTGGAGGAGCCCAGCCCCCACCCAGGAGCCGAAAGCACTGTGTTGGTTGCAGGGAGCTCATCCCATTCTTCGAAATCCTCCAGTCTGTGCTCCTCCTCCGGCTCCCAGGCCAGTTGGGCTTGGGTTTCGGCCCAGCTGTCTCAGCTTCAACAGAGGATTTCCACTAGGACCCTGGTTTCTCCTACTGCTACACCCGTGCGGTTTAGCAAGCAGGACAGCTGAGACCAGAGGCATGAGGCAGGACTGGCGTTGAGTCCCAGCTGTGTCGCTCACTTTGACCTTGGGCAGGTCACTAAAATGCTCGAGCTCCTCCTCTGCCTGTTGAGGATAAAGGGGTGGAGTCAATGAGACCATTCAAGGGCAAGCACTTGATAAAGCACCTGGCATATAGCGGCTCTCTGCTCTTCACCCCACCCCCCACCCCATCCTGCCCCTCAGGAAGCTGGCTGACTGCGCCCAGCTGCTAGAGGTCGATGACATGGTGCGGCTGGCAGTGCCTGACTCCAAGTGTGTCTACACCTACATCCAGGAGCTGTACCGCAGCCTCGTGCAGAAGGGGCTGGTGAAGACCAAGAAGAAATGAGGGGCTGGCCGACCATGTGGGCAGAGGTGGGTAGGGTGCCCAGCTGCCCAGCTGCGGCCCCGAGGCTCACCTCTGCTTCATGAAGGCAGCAGTGCTGGGGCTCGGGAAGGGGCAGGTGGCACCAGTCTTAACTACATTAAAAGTACTTTTGTAAAATCCTATCCAGCCTGTCAGTGCTCCCTCCCTACCCCTCCCAGGAACCTCTCTCACTCTGGGAAAATAAGCCCCTGCTGCCAGGGTTCCCTGACATGACTTTCTCAAAAACCATGAAAGTCACCACTAACCAGCTGTGTGTCCTTGGGCCAGTGAGTTAAGCTCTCTGAGTCTCCATTTACCATCTGAACAGGAATAACAGGAGTTCAAACTCATAGGCGCTGTGAGGGTTAAACGAAATAATGAAGAGGAAAAGCCTTGTTGGGGCCTGTCACCAAAGTTCTGTAAGTGACGGCCCAAGGTAACCACACATCTCACACTTCCAGTCACGCGTGGGACTTTCTCACACTTCTCTCAGATGAGGGAATTCCAGGGCAGGGGCTAGAGTCGAAATTCTCTAGAGATCTCATCCAAACTAGGCTGGTGGGGGCCTGGGGTGATTCCCTTGACTCAAAGATGCCCCACATTTCTGATTCTTAAAAGCCAGTGGTTTTCTAGGAGCTGAGAAATGCTGCACCCAGAAAGTTCTTTCTTTGGGTTCAGTTAATCCCTCCAACTCTGGCTGAAGTTTTGGCTTGTTTTTGTTTTTCCACTGCTCCTTCAAGATGAACCCCGGGGCTGAGTACAACGTCCTGCTAACAAACCTGTCTGGCTTCATCAGGCATTTGGAGCATGTGTGCTGATGAAAAACAGCTCATGACAAACACAAAATCCAAAACCGGCCAGCTTGGCACTGCAGCTGGAGGTATGGACTCTGCCCTGATGGGTAGAGAGGACCTGGCAACCCACTGAAGCACTCTGTGCCTTGGTTGCCCCATCTATAAAATGGGGGCGTAACCCTTGTGGGCATGTTGACCACCCCTCTGGCCAAGGATGGTCCAGTCCCTCGTGGTCAGCTTTCCCCACGCCCAGTGAGCCATCAGTTCATGGGAAGCAGGGTCACAGCTTTTACTAGATGGCGGTTAAATCCCCAGACTCTTCTCCCGATGAACCACCCCATCCCCTCAACGAACAATCTGGACTCCACAGTTCACCTGTGACTTTAATGGCTGGGCAAGCACGTGGTCTCCGTGGCTCCCCCTGGACTGGAAGCTGGAAAGGGCGTGGGAATAGCACGCCTGTGGCCAGTGGGTCCACACACCACATACCACCCCCAGTCCCCTGCTCCCCGCCACACACACACACACACACACAGTGATGACTAACAACCAAAAGAAACACGAATGACTAACAACCAAAAGGAAAACACGGAAGAAATGAGCAGGAACGGACCACAAAGGGACTCTGGCCCCCAGTCCGTGAGGTGTGTCCATCCATCACACAGACAGGATCCAGTGCAGAGACGGGTCAGAGCCAGAGTTAGGAAGGCCGGTCCACTCCAAACTGGAGGGTGAACTCTTCAGCCTTCCTGTTGAACAGCTCCGGGTCCTGTGCCAGCAGGTCAGCAAGCTCCAACCGAACAGGCTGCTCCGGCTGTGGTTTGTTCACCAACACATTGAGGGCCTCCAAGACTGGGGAGAGAGGTTCGGATCAGGACATCAGGATGGAAAGAGAAAATCATGCGAAGGAGGTGATGGCTGCCCACTCCCAGATGGCCCCAAAACGCCATATTCACTCCCTGGGGGGACCTTCCCCAAGGAGGTTCCATGTCTCAGGACGACTTTACAACCAAATCAGATGCCCCTCATGGACTTTGCTGATGATACCCAAAGCCCCGGCTGGTTGCATCTGTGGATTTCAAACTTTGCTCCGTGGTGTCACAGAAATTTCCCATCATGGGGGTCAGTGAGATCAGAGGTGTTTCTGGGTTCAATTCCCTTTCAACAAGGACCACTCTGCTTTTCTCTGTTTTGTCATTAGGATTCCAAATAAACTTTTTTTCCTTGTGGGGGAGGTAATTAGGTTTATTTATTTTTAGGGGAGGCCCCAGGGAATTGAACCCAGGTCCTTGTGCATGCTAAGCATGCACGCTACCATTTGAGCTACACCTTCCCCTGAGGATTCCTAATAAACTTTTGAGGCTGAAGACTGGAAACCACTACTGCGCTGTGGCTCTTAATCTTTCATGGATGCCTTTGGGAACCTGGTGAAGACAGTGGCCCATCATCCCCGAGGCACAAGCACACACGCACATGCACAGACACGCAGTTCTGCCTTCAGAGCATTCTGCAGATCCTGGAGCTCTTCCAAGGACCACTCCTCCCCTTCCCCCCAGGATAGGAACTCCCGAGCTGGTCCAGAGGCAGGATTGATGGTACCTTGATTATGTCTACATGCTCTGGAGCCAGTGTCCAACATGGTAGCCGCTAGCCATGTGTGGTTATCTCCACTTACGTCAACTGAAATTCACTGCCATTAGGAATTCAACTCACAGTCACATCAGCCACATTTTCAGTGCTCAAAAGCCACACATGGCTAGTGACTACGGCCTTGGAAAGGGCAGTGAGAAAATGATTCCCTCACTGTTCTGCCAGGCAGCACTATTCCAGAGTCAGCCAAGCAGACTTCGAACCCCAGCTCTGCTGCCTGCCAGCTCGGGCACGTGCTTTGCCTCTCACACGCCTCAGTGTCCTCATCCATCAAATGGGGCTAATGAGAGCGCTATTTCAGGGGGCTGTGGGGTGGGGCATTAAATGAGGTTAGTATGTTAAAAATGGCTGGTGTCCTTGGGTTCAGTGTAGTTCACAGAAAGTTCAAGTTCTCAGTGGCGCAGGGATGTATCTGACACCAGGTCCCCAGTGACCGCCCGACTCCATTTTTGTATGCCTGAATGTTGTTGGCTCCATGGATAGATATGGATAGATACCGAAAATATAAAATGGAGTAAAAAAGTGAATTAAAAAAATAGCATGTGACACTCTTAGCACAGTGCCAAAAGTGCTTAATTATGTGATGTGCGTTATCTGGCATCACTGGCATTATTAGGCCAGTCCCCTCAACTGCCATGTAGGGCCCTGAGCCCTGGAAAGAGACAGAGACTTCACTGAGGTCCACAGACGGAGCAGCTGGCTTTCTATCTCAAGCCCTTCCCTCTGCAGCCCTGCCGCTCCTCTCTCCCCTGACCCAGAGTGACGCTGCTCTGTCACGCCTGCCCAGGTATGAGCATAGAGGCAGGAGGAGGTCCGCCAGCCCAGGATCTCTCTGACAACAGGCTCAGCCAAGACCCACAATTTTTACCTCCTCTCTTTTGGGCTTTTCTAACTTGAAATCGGTCCCATAACCCCGCTCCGGGGTGAGTTCCTCCCTCTAGGCAGGACCTGGCCTCACCTTGGCAGGTCTTGGTATAAGGCTTCCAGTACTCGTTGCTAATGATGGGCAGGCACACCCGGCCGTCGCTGTCCACGCTGGGGTGGTAGATCCTGGTTGTGAACGTCACCGTCGGGGGCTTGAATGGATACTCCTCGGGGAAGCAGATGCGCAGGTGGAAGGCCTTGAGGTTGTAGGGAGGCGTCTCCTGTGCAAGAGAAGGGCGCAAGCTCTGCTTCGAGGCACGGCTGCTCTGAATGCTCATTTTCCTCCCAGGGCCTCGGTCTGGTTTCCCCCCTCCCCGCCCCACCCCAGGGCCCAGGCACCCTCTGCTCCACTCCCAGGAAGAAACATGAAAGAGGCCACCCATGGCACGTGCGTTCGTTTGGCAACGGAGCCGTGGATTAGAGGAACAGTGAAGTCTTAAAAGGACACCAGCCTGGGAATCACAGAAGCTGGGCCCTTGCTTTTGCTGTGCGACCGTGGGGTTTGCCGCCTCCCATCCCAGAGCCCCAGTTCCCTCCTTTGAAAAATGGGTCAAGTTGACTAGATGAGCCCTAAGGACCATCTCAGCTGCTCCTTTTTATTATATTGATAATTAACATTTTTCTCTCCTACTTTATCGAAGAACAACTGACATACATCACTAAGTTTAAGGTGTACACCATGATGGTTTGATTTACATATGTTGTGAAATGATGACCACAGTAGGTTCAGCTAAGCTCCATCTTCTCCCATAGGTACAATAAAAAGAAAAGAAAAAAAGGGGAAAAAAATTTCTCCTTGTGATGAGAACTCTTCGCATTTACTCTCTTAACAATTTTCCAGTACATCACACAGCAGTGCTAGCTACAGTCGTCATGCTGTTCTTAACATCCCCAGTACTTACTTATCTTACAACTGCAAGTTTGTACCTTTTAACCGCTTTCATCCCTAACTCCCCCTCCCTACACCCTAGGCCTCTGGTAACCACAGATCTGATCTCTTACTCTATGAGTTTTCTTTTGTTTTTAGATTCCACATATAAGTGAGATCATACAGTAGCTATCTTTCTCTGTTATTTCACTTAGCATAAAGTCTTCGAGGTCCATCCATATTGTTGCAAATGGTCATCGCAGCTTTAATGTCTTTCTGAGAATTATGGAAGAAAAGGACAGACGTTTCTCTTTGGGAGCTGTTAGCAAGTACAGGAGAATTGTTATCATTGGGGGCTTGGAAAGGGAGAAAATGAGGAAATCATAAGGAGTCTGAAATGACACAAATGAACTTATTTATAAAACAGAGACAGATTCACAGACACAGAAAACAAACTTATGGTTACCAGGGGGAAAGGTGGGGGGGTAGAGGGGTAAACTGGGGGTTCAGGGTTTGCAGATACTAACTACTATATATAAAATGAATAAACAGCAAGGTCCCACTGTAGAGCACAGGGAACTATATTCAATACCTTGCAATAGCCCATAATGAAAAAGAATATGGAAAGGAACATATGTATGTATAACTGAATCACTATGCTGCACACCAGAAATTAACACAACATTGTAAACTGACTATACTTGAATTAAAAAAAAAAAGTCAGGGGTTTGGAAATATAAAATAGTGCAGCCACTGTGCAAAACCATATGGCGGTCCCTCAAAAAGGTAAACAGAATTACCATGTGATCCAGCAATTCCACTTCTGAGAATCTATTCAGAAGAACTGAAAGCAGGGACCATGTTCATAGAAGTGTGGTTCACAACCCAAACCTCCATCGACAAATGAGCAGATAAACCAAACATGGCGTATCCATCCAATGGGATATCACCGAACCTTGAAAAGGAAGGACACCGTGATACATGCCACAACGCGAATCAACTCTGAAGTCATTATGCTAAGGAAAATAAGCTTGACAAAAAAAAATTGTATGATTCCACTCATGTGAGGTACCTAGAATAGTCAAACTCATAGGCATAAAATAGAAAATTAATTACCAGATGGTGGAGGGGAGGAGGAATAGGGAGTTAGTGTTTAATGGACACAGTTTCAGTTCTGGAAGATGAAGAAGTTCTGGAGATAGATGGTGATGATGGCTGCACAAGAATGAGAATGTCCTTCGTGTCACTGAACTCAAAATGTAAGTGGTTCCGATGGCACATACTGTTATGTGGAGATTACCGTGTTGAAACCAAAAAACAAACAAACAAAAACTCGGAGCAGGAGTGACCAAGGGTTGCCAAGAGCCAGCAGAAGATGCTCTAAACCTCCGGCAACCTAAAGACTTTCCTGGGCACCTACTCTGTGCATTAGCCCAGGCAGCACAGTGTGGAATTATGTGGACTTTGGAGCCACCCAACCTGTGTGTGAATCTTGGCTCTGCCACTCATTAGCTGTTTGACCTCAGGCAAGTAACTTAACCTCTCTGTGCTTTTCCATAGGGAAATAATAATAGACTTCTTTATAGGGCTTGGGCAAGGATTAAATGAGCACCTCCATTTTCAGACGAGGAAACCAGTTCAGCGTATGTAAGTAACTCGCCCAGGGCCACAGTGACAGTGCCAAGATGTCAGTACACAGTACACACGAGCAGTACTTTCCAGCCCTTGTGGGGAAGAACCTTCGAACTTGGGAAACCCCAGCACAGAGCACAGGGACCCTCAGGCTGGTTCCAGAGCTCCAAATCCCTTCAGAACCTTCGTTACAGAGAGGACAGGACAGAGGAGTCTGAATGATGTATGATGTAAGCGCAGAGTCAAGGTGTTGAGAGAGCTGCCCGCTCTTAGCTGAAGGCCGAAAAGAAACCACAGGGTGTGTGTGAGATGGGGCAACTGCTGGGCAGATAAAGAAAATGTCTTGGCTTTTACGTACTCGATAACAAGAAGAAGCTGGGACCCAGGACGTAGACACAACACCAAGGGGGAGGCCTCAGAAAAGGTCAGGAGAGTGTCTGTGTATCCTTCTGCAGGGGTTGCAGGCGGGGCTGCTGGGGTCTTAGAGGAAGGAGGCGGCAGAGCCCTGGGGCTCAGAGCCCTGGGAACCCACCCCAGCTCCGCCTTGAGCTTGCATTGCGGCTTTGAGCAGTTCTGGGACTGTTTCCTCATGTGTAAAACGAGGAAGTTGGACCAGACAGAGGGCTTCGCTAAGAAAATCCTACTTCCTCTGAAGTTCTGGGTTCAATAACGTATTTTGCTATTCTTCCAGCCCAGAGCAGGTGAGGTGGATTGTTTCAACCCAGCTGCCCAAGGGACACAACAGAGGTTCAAATGTTGGCCTGAGTCAAGTCTTTCTCCATTGTTCTGGACGACAGCTCAGTGGAAAGAGAAGACGGCACAGCCCAGGCCACCACACTGTCAGTAAGAAGTCCAGATCCTAAAGAATCCAATGAATGGTTCCCATTAAATTCCAAAGAGCTAATAAAAAGCTCAACTGTTTTCATTTTTATTTCTAAGTACCCAAAGGTCTATAGATGAATTTTTCAAAGAAAATATCTGGGGGAAAAAAAAAAAGAAAAAATCTGTGGGAGGGGAGGGTGTAGCTCAGCAGTAGAGCGCATGCTTCACGTGCATGAGGTCATGGGTTCATTCCCCAGTACCTCCATTAAATAATAAACAAACAAACAAACCTAATTACCTCCCCCCAGAACAAAACAGGACAAAAACAAAACCAAAATTTTTTAAAGAAAATATCTGTGGTCACTAATAATTAGATGACAAAATGGACATCCTGCACTTTGATAGGTCCTCTGTTTATATTACCTTCAAAGAGAGATTCTATCAAGATGATCTCTAATAATAGAGAAAAATTAGAACAGTAGAGATGAGTTATCTGCGTTGTCATATGTAACAACAAATTTCTGAAATATGAATTTTAAAAGAAAATAAAATTCATTTTAGGTCTAAGGGAGCAAATTCTAACAACTGTGGAAAACAGGAACTTTATCCCTACCCCTGACAAAGGTCCAAGAGATCTTTTTCTTTTTCTTTCTTTCTTTCTTTTTTTTCTTTTGATGCCCTTTGTCTGCTGAAGCCTCCATGGTGGGCTTGGTAGCTACTGGTTTGAGGAAGGGGTCTCCTACGAAGTCCAAAAGCTTTTTCGCCTCTTCATCAGTCGGCCTTGACCTCAGAAGCAATCAATTCAGAAAGAGATCCCTTCTGCCAAAGATAATGTCCACTGAAAACAAAGATTCTAATGCAGGGAAATTTGTGTACGGTCCTAACCCTCCTGCCCAGGCCCCTGGCCTCAGTGGTCCCAGCCCAAGGCCACAATCCCGGGGCTACTCACAGGCAGGAGGAGCGCGTGCCACACGAGCACATTGGCATCATCGCTAAACAGGTTCCGCAGGTACCTGGGAAGCTTCTTCTGCAGGTCCTCCAGCTCCTGCAGGGGTGCAGTGAGTGGGCAGGTGGCCTGGTCTCCCCACTTCAACCCCCTCCCCCGCCCCACAGCAAGCTGTCCCAAGTCCCAAACAGGCCACCCTAGAGGACAGAGGCTGGCAGAGTCAGAGCCCCCAAGCCCTGAGCACTTGGGGTGTGTCAGATATGGAGCTCAGGGCTTTAAGTGAATCCCCTGGTTGCAGCCTCACCGCAGCTCTGTGGGTACCGGGGGAGGGAAGATGCACATGGCTGCTTCCAGTTGTGACAACTTAGGAGTAAACTCTCTTAGGAGACTTTTCTCCTGAAACCAAGGTACTTAATGCCTGTCCTCTTGTCCTCTTCCTAGAGTCACGAGGTCCTCCCTCCCTTCCATAGCACCCACTGAGTGTCCCGCAGGAACAGGTGCCTTTACAGTGCGCAGGACAGAGCAGGCAGCCAAAGACAACAACCTGGCCCAGTCAAACTCCTCCAGACCAGGCCTGGGGAAGGGAAAAGACTCCGCGGACCAGAGCAGGGGAGAACTCTACACACCAAGCACAGAAACAAGGGGACAAGCAGTGACTCACCTTCCCAGATATGTGGCCCAGTCACCTGGACATCACTGAGTTCTCCCAACAGCCCCTCTCCTGAGCATCCTCTATCGACACTGGACTAAGACAAGGCCCAGCCCTCAAGAACTTCATTGGAGTAATGAGAGAAACACGAATGTGATTATGTAAAGAATGTGTGGACACAAAATAAGGAAGGGGAGGAGAGGGGAGCAGGATAGCTTCGCAGAGGGTGACTCTGTGAGCTAGGTCATGCAGGATGAATAGGAGTCTGCCACGCAGAGAAGGGAAAGGTACGAAGGCAGAGTGCCCAGTTAGAGCAAATGTGTACAGCGTGTCCCGTGCAAAGTTCACAGTTATTACAGGAAAAGGGTTCCACGGTCAAGTACATTGGGGAACACTAGGCTAAACAAATGTCTTTCCCCCAGGACTCCCCACAGCCTTTAAAATGCTATTATGTATCATGATTCTTCAAAATGTGAGCCCAAGCACTCAGTACTTCTCAAATGTATTAGACCAAGGAACCCCTCTCTCCATTTTGGGGTCCATCCCAAAGTGGGACAATAGACAATTTTTAAAATATATGTATATATATTTTTAACAGAGGTACTGGTGATTGAAACCAGGACCTTGTGCATGCTAAGCATGCATTCTACCACTGAGCTATACCATCCCCCAAATAAATGTTTTTAATTGAAGTATAGTTATGGTGCAATATTATATGTTACAGGTGTATGATATTACAGTGGTTCACAACTTTTAAAGATTATACTCCATTTATATACTTATAATAAAACACTGGCCATATTCCATGTGTTGTACAATACATCCTTATAGCTTATTTTATACCTAATAGTTTGTACCTCTTACTCCCCTACCCCTATATTGCCCCTTCCTCTTTCCCTCTCCTCACTGCAATAAACCTTTTTAAGAAACAACAATAGATAAAAAGACATTCAAGGGCAAGTCTCACTCTCCTGGAACACTAAATGGGTGTAAACTAGTGGTTCTCAACGGGGGGGGGGCTACTTTACCCCCCACTCCCGGACATTTGACAATGTCTAGAACCATTTTTGGCTGTTACAAATGGAGGAATGCTACTACATCTAGGGGACAGAGGCCAGGGATGCTGACAAACATCCTACAAAACATCCTACAAAAAAGTATCTGACCCAAGATGCCAACAGCGACAAGGTTGCAAAACCCTGGTATAAACAAAGGCAGATAGAACGGTGCCCAGAGCCAGTCCACAGCTGGGGAAGGGTCCTTTAACACTGGGCACCAGCTAAACTTTCTCTGCCCCCCAATATATAAACACACCCTGGCCCCTGTTTCTTATCTTTCAGCCCATACCCCATCTCTGTTCACACCAAGAAACCATTTCTTGCACCTTCCGCCCAGAACCTACAACCCCTCATTTAGCTTTTACGGTAGACTGGAGCATCTTCTACTGTAAGTCCCAATTCCAGTATCATCTGTGACTCTTTAGCAAGGATGAAACCACAGGTTGGACAGAGAAGCTCTGGAATGAACATTTTCCCAACTTTATATTGTAACTAGGGGGAGGGTATAGCTAAGTGGTAGGGTGCATGCTTAGCATGCAAAGTTACTGGGTTCAAGCCCCAGTACCTCCATTAAAAAAAAGTAAATAAATAAATAATTACCTCCCCCTTCAAAAAACAAAATAAAATAAAGTAAAATCTATTAAATTAAAAATATACACATACACTATAACTGGAAGCACTTGGGCTTTATCTCTTATATAGGAGTTCTGTCAAGATTTTCCCAAAGCCTGGGGCTGCTGAAACCCAAGCAAGGACACCCAGCTCTTTCCAGAGGCCTGTTAGTAAATCATCTGACTCAGAGGAACAGAAAATGAAAGTAGAGAAGCCACTAAAAGGGCCTGTGGGTTGGAGCCCCACCAACCTGGGCTCAAAGCCCAGCCCCACCACTCCCTACCTGACTCAGGACAACTGAGTTATTCTCTTGAAGCCTCAGCTTTCTCATCTGTAAAATGGGGGTATATGACTTATCTCACAGGGTTGCTTTCAGAATGGGATAACTCATGTAAACTGCCGGGAATTTAATGGTGCCACTGCAGGAAATGCTGGCTCCTAGCTCTTTCCCACTTGGCTGGAGAGACACTGTCCCATTTTGCTGCCAAGCTCCAGATTTCAGTCTTTCTGGGCTGAGCCTGCTCTGTGTGCCCCAGTCTGCGATCGTCTTCTCAGAGACTGACGGTAGTGCGCCAACCCTGCTCCCTTGAAGCCTGCCTCCTACTATGCACATACGAAGGGCACTTCTGAGAGACTCAGAGCTTGAAGGGTATCACACACGCTTTACCAGGATTGCTTTACCTTCCCCATTCATCTCCAATCCCGGCCACATCACAGTCCTCCAAACACCCTGGGTTTTCGCACCTCCTGGGGGAAATCGTCCCCTCCCCATCCTTCCCGACTTCACTTCAATTGTGCCCCTGGTTGGAATGAAAGATCAAAGAGGGCAGGATTTTTGTGCACCTCTGCCTCCCTACCTCCTAGAACAGGAGCCAGAACATAGGAGGCAATCAACGACGTTCGTAGAACAAATGCATGCACGCCACCTACTCCAGCACATCTTCTAGGTTCGCCCGGGGAATCTTTTCTTTCCGAGCACATCCTGAGAACTTAGCTCCCGACTCCTACTCAGCATCCCATACCTCTCGGGACTCTAATCTCTAATGTGGGTACCAAATTATGGGGCCGGCCATCGGCTATTCCAAGGCAAGGACCTTGTCCTGGTGTTTAAAACACACCTGCCACTCCCCCCAGCAGAGCGCCTGGCCCCAAGGAGACGGCAAGGAACCCTTCCTGCACCTGAGACGCACGTAATTGTTACCACAAGTTTCTGGTAGGAGAAATGAAACTGAAACCAGCGGGGCAGAGGAGGCGGGGGAGGTGGCTCTTCCCCATCTCCAGCACAGCTCAGGGAGCCAGCGACACCCCCGCTCGATATGCCCTCAGCCCCCCAAACTCCAGCTCTGGCCCTTCTCGCAGACCCACTCTTCCTCTGGGAGGGGGCGAGGATGGCAGGGATTCAGCCAGTCCTTGTAGCCAGACAAACAAATGCGCTCGGAGAGCTGGGGGACGGAGGGTGGGAGGAGAGAAGAGGAAGGCGCGAGGAAGCCTTGAGAAAGGGGTCATCCTACACGCGGTTACCTTCGCCACCCGCTTGTTCGCCGTCATCTCGGGACCGAGGGCTGGGCTCCGGCGGACTCCAGCCGGACTGTGCATCCGCCGGCGGACTCTGCGCACCCCGCCCCGGGAACCCCACCAACGGGAGCCCCGCCCACGCGCTGCTCCACCCGCGGGGACCCGGGGCGGGTCGACCTGCTCCCCACCACCTCCGCTGAGACTGGGAGGCCACCGAAGGGAGGACCCGCCCGGATCCCGGCGCGGTGGGCTCGGATCCCAGGAACTGAGCT